AGGGCTGCACAGAGCATCTTATACCTCCCTTTTCCTTCTGTCCCCACCCCATGTTTGCTTTTGGATGGAAAATCAGAGAAACCTACAGGGGCCCGCCCCCTCCCCCCTCACTGGCTTGTCTGGGGAGAGGACCTGCTGTGCAGAGCCTGCCTGGGAGGGAAAGCCGGTGCCTAAATCCAGGAGCAAATCTCTTCTTGCCAGCGGCTTTTTGCTTATGACCTGTTGGGAAAATCCAGCGCCCCTGCCCCCCCTTTCACACGCTGCAGAAAAGGCGAAGAGTTGGAGAGAGAGAGAATCCACTAAATATAGACCAGTGGCTTTAAGCGCTTCTCTTGGCGAGCACTGCAGCCCGTAATGCTGTCGACCGGAGAGGACGTCGCCCCCTCTCTTTCCCTTTTTGGCCCAGGCACTAACCCAGTTTAGTCGCTCGTGCCGTGTGCAGTTACAGCACAGAGACGGGAGGTGTGCTGGCTGCGAGGCCTTGTCGCGAGGTGGGGGAGAGCCCCGGGAACAAAACCGCCGCCGCAGCCGTTCGTGTCCGCGTTTATGCCTCTGTGTCCGCTTGCAAGCAAAGGCGGGAGCTCATTTGCAAGGCTGCCTTTGTGGAGCTGCCTTTTGATCGATGATTGCCTGTGTTAATGTTTCAGCAAGCTATTGATTTCTGCAACAGCTTTTGTTCCTGAATTTATGTGCAGCGGGTCTCTGCAGCACACACTATGCATGTTTGATTAAAGTTCAATTGACTTCGTTCCTGGTGAGGCCTCTAGCTGCCTCATTCCCTGTTTGTAGAACCAGACCTTTTCCCGACATGTTCTTTTGTTTGTGCTCAAGACCTAGCCACCCATGCAGTCACCAGTATGCTGTTTCTAATCCGCCTAGATTCGCTCCGTTCCAGTGTTTAATCCCTTCGTAGAGGGTACAGTGCTTGAGAGGCAGCTAATAAAACCTGGCCTGGATTTTTTTTAAAGTTAACTTCATGGCTGTGTAATTGGTATGCATAGCATATATACCGTAAAAGGACACCCACTTTAAGCGCAGTGAGGGCACCGTTCAGGGAGTTTGACCACCGTAAACCCGCGGGGCGTTTATGGGATTTATTCTTTCACCCCGAAAGGTTTCCTCATATTCTTTTATAGGTAGTTTCCTACTTCTTGTCCTCTGGACTCTGGGCAACCACTCGTTTACTTTTTGTGATTGTAGATTTGCCTTTTCCAGAACAGACCCCCACAGTCTGTGCTTTTGTGTCTGGCTGCTTACAGTCAGTGTGATGTTTCGAGGTTGAACCGTGTTGTCACATAGATCAGTCGTTTGCCTTTTTACTACCAAGTAGTATCTAGTAAGTGGATGCACGGTGATCTGTTTCTCCCTTCTCCTGTTGAGGGGTATTGGGATAGTTTCCAGTTTGGGGTGGCAAAGAGTAAAGGTTCTCTGAACGTGTTTACGTGGAAAAGTCTTTGTGTGAGCATGCTTTTATTCTTTTGGGTAAACACCGAAGAGTGGGATCAGCTGCTGGGTCATATGGTAAATGTTTAGCTTTGTAAGAACCACCAAAGTTTTAGAAGTGGGTGAACCATTTTATATTCCCACCAGCCATGTATGAGAGTTCTAGTTGCTACCCCATCTTCCTGAATTTTGAAATGTGTAGTTCTCATTTTCTGAACTGGTTTTAGGCCTATAGTGGAGGGTCCTTCTGGCTTGGTCGTTTGATCCCTGGTACTGAGAAAATAGAATGTGTTCTGGACTCTTTTTCTTGTCAGAAGGCTATTCTTTCCTTCCTTTTTTTTTTTAAGGTTTATTTAGAGAGAGAGAGAGAGCAGGGCAGGGGCAGAGAGAGAAGGAGAGAGAGAATCTCAAGCAGGCTCCATGCTGTGAGCACGGAACCCGACGCAGGGCTCCAGCTCCTGAACCGCGAGATCCTGACCCGAGCCCAAATCAGGAGTCCAACAGCCAACCAGTTGAGCCTCCAGGTGTTGACAAAAAGTTGATGATTATTTCAGTATTAGGTTTCTTTGTCATGTCCTGCTTTTCTCACATACTTGAGGAAGACACAACACAGCAGGAGTGGAGGTTAAGTTTGGGAACCCGGCTTTTCTTGAGGCTTTTTCTGCCCGGTGTGTGGCGTTAGGCCAGTATCATAGCCTCACTGGACTCTGGCTTGCCCTATTTTAATCTGTGAGTTATGCTGTCTTCTAAGACCATTTGAAACTCTTTCAGACATTCATGTTTGAGAAATAGAAATACATTGAACCTTAACACAGGTTAAAATGGCACAGTTTCACTTACGAGCAGGTTTTTTTTTTTTGATAAATATAGTCGAGTACTGTAAATATATTTTTTCCTCCTTACGATTTTCTTAGTATCATTTTCTTTATTTTATTGTAAGCATGCTGTAAAAAATGTATGTAGCATATATAATACGTGTTAATCAACCGTTTATGTTATCAGTAAGGTTTCTGGTCAACGGTAGACTGTTTATTAGGTTTTGGGAGAGTCCGAAGTTGTACCTGGATCTTTGTGTCAGTGCCCCTCACCTGTAAGTCAGGCTGAGGTTTGGCAGAGACCCTGCTAGCACCTTCCCACCTGATTTTCTCTCCCATTTTTGATTCCTTCTCTCTCCTGTAGCTTCCCATTTCCTCTTACACCCCAGGCCTTTCTCATCCACTGGCCCCTAAAGTGACTTCAGCTAGAGGAGGTGGGAGGAACCACTCTGGGGTCTCACATCCTTCCTTCCAGCTTTGGGATTGGGCCGTGGCTCACTGCACTAGTTGCCCTTCTGAACTGATAGAGCATGTCACGCTGACAAAGTATTGAAGGGTGACAATGACTTGCCTTGGCTTCTGTTCTGTATTTTCTCATAGGAGGACCAGCGTCAGATCAGTTTTGTATCCGCACAGGTCTCTTAATCCCCCACTGGGTGTCTGGGTTTGTTCCCTCCAGCCAGCCAACACCAGAAGATCAGTAGAGATAAGTGACTTTCCAAGTCGGGAAAATGGGAGATAAAGAGCAGGAGCCAGGACCTTCTCGGATGATGACCTCAGGGGCTCGGGACGCTCCGGTCACCACGGGGACAGTTGTAACCTACGTTTGTAGAGTAACATGTGACAGACAAACAGGTCAGAAATCCAAGGGCATTTCCTACATTTTCCCTTGTTCAGTTACTGTCTCATGGAACTGGAAAGGGGGTGGGGTGAGCTTGTAGATTTGCCTGTGCTCTCCTTGGTGGCTGGCTCCTGGCCTCCCTTGGCCTGGGGTCACGCTTCATCTGTTAACTATTGGCAGTCACTAGCATTTTGCTGAGTGGCACTTGGAAAGACTGGAACCTATCCACAGCTCCAAGAGATACATGCTATGGACCTGTGGAAGCCAGTCAGAAGTTCCTCTGAACCACAGGCTCCTTTAAGGGTCTGGCAACAGCTGCGGTCCCACTTCTTAGAAAATGCACAGGCATAGAATCCAACTCTGAGCAGTGAGCACTCAACACGCGCGGGTTACCTGCTTTGCAGAAGCCGTTTCCCCACTTAAAACCTGCCCCCTTCTCTTCAAACTGACTTCTCATCGTGTTCTAAGGCCATTGCTTCTGGGGGGGTGTTTTAATGAAATCTCGTCTAATGGGGTGCTCGGCAATCACAAGAGTTTGTCGCCTAGTATCTGCACTTATCTCCTTCAGTCTCTCCAGCACTGGCCTTTCCAGCTAGATGGATCTCAGGTCACCGGAGAACAGAATCTCTCGCTCTGGCTCTGGCTCTGGCTCTCGGCTCCTCCATTCACAAAGCAGTGAGCCTTCCATGAGGCTAAGTGGTGCTCTGGCCAAGTGGCTCCAACCTTGGGGTACGAGTTGCTCCCAGGATGACTTCCAGGATACACTGGTCCACCAAGTTGATTGTCCACAGGATTGATTCAGTTAGAGAAGATCAGTGTGATCTAGGCACTCTCACTGCTTTAAGTGTTTTTGGGGTTTTTTTCCTCTAATTCCAGGTGAAGATACTTTATCTTGGGATGTTTAAGAAATTGGGTCTTTGTCAGCCAGGGTTAACCAAACGTGGCACAGGGGTAGCAGAAGTGCCCCTTTTTAATGGTTGCATTTGGGTTCATATCCCCTTGCTGTATTTTTTAAAAAGCTGTCTTGCCTGCCTTTCTGCTGGGCCGTGAAAACCTTAAAGACCGACCTTGTGGGGCACCTGGGTGGCTCAGTCGGTTAAGCCTCCCACTTTGGCTCAGCTCATCATCTTGCAGTTCGCTGCTTCGAGCCCCGCATCGGGCTCTCTGCTGTCTGCACAGAGCCCGCCTCTGCTGCTCTGTCTCCCTCTCTCTCTGCCCCTGCCCAGCTCGTTCTCTTTCTCTCTCAAAAATTTAAAAACGAAAGACTGACCTTGTGACATGTGGCATTTCATCTCTGCATCAGTGCCCCTGTGTACGTGGCCCTCGGGCGTCACCTTCAGGATTTTGTACCAGCTTGTCCCACTGTGGTCACTCAGACCGGGTGGAGGCCGTGGGGCAGTTCTCCTGGGTTTGGGGAGAACTCCTTTTTTCCTGACCCCGGCTCCCCACCACCTGAGCGCCTGAATTGTTGGGGTTTTTTGGAGGGGGAGAGGGGTTGTTTCTGGAATAGCCTAAGTGGCCAGGCGTTCCCTTGTCACACCTGTATGATTTCAGTGCAGTGCGGTGAAGAAACCATCTGTGCGCACACACGGTTAGCGGGCAGGGATTTTCCCTTTTCTCGGTTGTTTATTGCTGTACCTCCATGCTGGCGTCTGGCACATGGCAGCTACTCAGCAGGTACTTGTTGAATGAATGAATGTTCTAGATATCTAGAGGTTCTGCTTCCCTGGGCTGAGGGGACAAGTCCAGTCCCCCTCACGACTCAGGAGCAAAGCGTCCTTTGCGCTCCTCCCCGGCACAGCCGATCCCAAGTAGCTCCTGCTCCTGGCAGAAGAGGGCGCTGCAGGGCAGGGAGAAGCCATCCCGAGCCCTTCGTCACCGCCGGCCCTTCTCTCCCGCAGGGGGAGCTGATCACCTTCTATTACTACTGGAAGAAAACCCCCGAAGCAGCCAGCTCCCGGGCCCATCGCCGGCACCGCAGGCAGGCCGTGTTCAGGAGGATCAAGACCCGCACCGCGTCCACACCCGTCAGCACGCCCTCCAGGCCACCCTCCAGCGAGTTCCGTAAGTGCGGGGCTGCTCGCTGTCCCGGTTCTGGGCCTGCACTCACAGGTGTCCTTGTTGCAGAGTGGCTTGGGGACATCATGTGTGTGGTGCAGGCGTATGAAACTTGCGCCTGGATGTAGCACTGACTTGGGGGACTTGGTAGGAGAGGTTCATAAATTATTTATGCATTTAAATTTTTTAAGTAAACTCAACATCATTGTAGCTTTTTATAAAAACGTAAGTCTTGACTTGTCCTGGGGTGTTTTCGGTAATTTCAGAGGAGATTTCCCACTTCATGGCGGGTGTTCTGTTTGAGTTACTGTGTTGGTATTGTGTTGGCAATAAGATTCAT